CTGCTGCTACTACTACTCCTGCTCCTATGATGGGGTACCCGTAACGAGGACGGAGCTTGGGAACTGCAATGGGCTTACCCTTGACTTGAGCACAGCATCCTTCGCCGGACATTGACGTCTAGCAGAAGGAATGATGAGAAATACTACGCTAGCGAAGGCTTTTGTGTCACTGCGCGGTTTTTTGTAGCTTTGGTTTCGACACGACACTTGGTTTGCAAGGCGAGAACGCTGCCGCTTGATTTGCGGCATGTCGGCAGCGCTTGCGAGGCATGCATCAGACACCGTAAGGAACCGTAAGGACGTGTAAGGACGCGAGCTTTGAAGCCCGAACTCAGCGAGGCCCCTGACACGGGAAGCGGCTCGCCGGGCCGGTGCCGGACTTGCGCAGCAGGCTTGCCCGGCTCCACTGTGACTGTGACGGCAGCGCTGCAGCTTTTGCTTTTGCTTTTCCGAGGCTGCGAGCGTTCTCAAGGCCGTCGTCCAAGGCCCCGAGGCGGAGCCGGCGGGCTACGGCTCGGATCCCAGCTCGCGTATGCTCGCGTGCACTGCTCCGCTGCTCTGCCGCCGTGGGGGCACCCAGGAGTGGAACTTCCGCGCTTCGTGCAGGTCGCTTTGGGATTTCATGGGCAGTTGCCTGCCGCTACATTCAGCACAGCGGTCACATCAAGCATTGGCACGTATATTCAGGCTTCCTCTCATTTGCGCCAGGCGCTGCCCTATCTAAGCCACACGCAACTGGTGCAATGCTCGAGTCATTTCGGCCAGCCGTTGCCCGAGAAAATGCTTACAGTGGGATTTTCACTCTAAGGCTTGAGCTGATACGCAGTAAATCTGGCAGCACCTCCTGCCTTCCTATCGGTCTGAAGGCGTGGCCAGGCAGTTGGCGGCGTCGCTGGCGCCTTGGCGTCAGAACTCTCCTGGCGCCTCAAGCCGCGAGGCTCGTAAGGTTACGTGCTGCACCCCGGTATGCCTCGGATTACAAAATTTACAGCGACAGGAGAAGCATCGGCCGAGTCCCGACTCAGGGAGACCTTAAGAGCCGATGAAGTCGCTGCCCTATCGCGAGCCACCGGCTCGCAGCCTTCGACTCCTTCGACCGCATCTTCTGGCACTGCTAAGGTCACCACCGTGTTCTACGCCTTCTCGAAGGTTACGCCCCAGTTGCCGGAGGACGCAACCCCGCATGCGAGAGAAACAGCGATGCACCAGTGAGGCTCAGAACTGCACTCTTGTATCCATCATGTGTGAGAAGAAGTTATTATAATTAAGGGCTTGTGACGGCTGGGACCTTGCACCCTCCAGGGATTTTTGACATCCCATCGCTTCGCAGTACCGGTTGCTGTACGAAGCGATCAGCGACGGCCTGCTGGAGGGCCAGTGGAGCCTCAATCGTCAGTGCCTGAGCATCGCACCTGACACGATGTATTTGCTGCCACTGTAAGCAAGACTCCGGCGCTGAGACCTCCAGTCCGTCTTGATTGCCACTGCCTTGGCGGACACGGACTCCGCCTTAGTAGAAGCCTGGAAAACACGTACCAGAGCACGCCGCAAGATCTTGTTCGATAGCGTCGTTCCTCTGTTGAAGATGCTGGTGGACGGAGGAAAAAGGGATAGAGCGAGTCGGGAATTCCCAACACCCCAGCCTCGGCTGGGTTTGGGGAGTCGATGGAAGGGTAGGGCCAAGTTTGGAATCGAAATACACCCCTTCTGCTGCTCATGATGCTCTCACGATTTCGGCTGTTGGGGCAGCTGAAGCTTTCCCGCCCTGATGGACGAAGCTACGTCACCGCAAGTAGAGGAAGAAGAAGTAAACGTAGTAGTGATAGTAGTACTACTCGTTGTCGTTGTTGTTGTTGTTGTTGTTGCTGTTGTTGGCATGTACGCTTCTTGCCGCCGCGGAGGGTCT